AAAAAAAAAAAAAAAAAAAAAAAAAAAAAAAAAAGAGGTGTATATATCGTTAGCCAAACAAATTTATAGCTCCTGTTTATATTTGAAAATTCTAAGATGAAAGCCCATCCATTATTGGAAACGGTAAGGTACTTGAAAGCCCATATATCAAAACAAAAACGTGTGATTTGTGACTTATGATTATGAGTAAACCACTAAACCCCAACTTAATTCCTGAATTTGACAAGTATTATCACTTTAGTTCTTGAATTTGTAATTCGTCATTCATATTAATTCTTTTATGTATTATTAATTTTAACATAACATCCTATATAACACATGAAGTACTTATGTGACACAAAGTGACACTTTCATATAATTTGATGTCTATATAATTCACATGAGCATGGACTATTTTGAAGAGTTTAATGGTATTCGTGAAAAAATCATTAACCTTAATGGTATTCGTGAAATAATCATTAACCTTTCAATGTAGTTCTTGAACTTAGCACTTGTTATATTAGTCCTAGATTTAGTATTTGTTATTAGATTAGATCTTAAGTTTAACAAAATTAAAAACAGTTCTTAAAATGATGCATATTTCATCATTCTCATTAATTCAAACATTAACACATGTTTGTTGTCTTTAACAAAGTACAATTGCGTTCATACTCCAGACAGCAGGGCCAAGGTTCTACAAATTCATGTTTGTCATGCATACACTTTGTGCTATTTAAAACTACAATTTTTTCCATTAAGACTGGAATGTTACAATAAATGTTTTTTTTTTGACACCGTGACAATAAATGTTAAATTAAGGGACTAGTATAACTTATAACAGTGAATGTTAATTAAATTCAACGACTAAATTGAAGGGTTTATGATTTTTCAATTAAGCATCGACTGTATAAACAAAACACATATCTCTTGTAAATACTTGGCATACAACGTAAAATACTCTATGTTAATATTAACGACAATAACTTCACATAATAACTAACTTCAAGAGACTGTAATGTTTAAGAGCTATTTTTTGTTATTTAAATTCAGGGACTATAATGTCAGTTTTGTGAAATTCAATTAGAGTTGACTGCATGTTACACTAGCTACTAACCTCTCATATTTAATTTCTTTATTTGTCTGAAATTCTGTAGGTGGAATATATCTCTCAAAAATGAATACACATTAAAACTTTCACATATCTCAAAGGTTCAGTACAGTTTCATTTTAAACAATATTTTCAATAACACTGCAAAGCACTACTATTAGTTTATTACACACTTTAAATTTGACACTGTTCTCTTTTTAGGGATACAAATTTTCAACAATTTAACTTATATATATATATATATATATGTATGAATTCAAATTCATTCAACAATAAAAAATCATGCCAATCGGAGAAACACCTTGGTGACACCTAAGAAAAACATCTTTCAAAATGAAAAGTAGTTTGATATAATTCACTTTAAATATTAAATTGGAGTATAATTTTTAAAAATATAATTAAACCTCTTAGGTTATTTTTTTCCTTAAAGAGATGTTTTCTTCCCTATTTCAAATTTACGTTAGTTTACACCCGTCATGAAATATTTTGTTAAAAATTAATTATCCATATTCAAAACTTTAAATTTCAAATGTTATTATCTAAATTTTAAATTTATATGGTATATATTTGATTTAAATATAAAAATAGGCATAAATCGTGTAAGATTTTTTTTTTGTCCACGTATAAGATATTTATGAAAATGAAAATAACTTGTGCCAACTTAAGCCGAAGGCAGAAAAGAAATATAAAAAATAATAATAATAATAAAATGCAAGAGTGCATGCAGATAGAACAAAGGAAAGGACCACACAACTAACATGACCCTTTAAGTTTGGATTTTAGTCCACCACTTCTTCACACGGCAACATTGGGAACCGAAAGCACTAAGAAATAAGACATAAAAAAGGTTGAAAAGGAAGTAGCAGAATTATCCAACCCAATCGAAATACAACTTAAAGAGACCATAGCATTGGTTGGATCATGGATGGTTGTAATTAAGTTTCTTGCAATTGCACAATCCTCATACCCTGGCATGGGAAAATAACCATTCTAAAATGAGAGGGAAGAGCAAGAGGAGGAGACCAAAGCCTAACATGTTATATTTTACTAGATTTGTGGAGTCCCGATGGCGAAACCTAGATGTGGATGTGTTACATGTTGCTGTCGGGAATTAGTCACTATGCATCTCTATTTTGTTTTACGTATTGATGAATGAGATGAAGTGTTGTGTTGACTATGCGTAGCGCTGTGGGTGTGGGGTCCTCTATAGTGGGGGCTGATCATGGACATGATCCAGTTGAATGGACCACACTGGACAGGTGAGCCCACAGGGGATGGTTTGGACGACTGGCGCACGTGAAGTGGGTGTGGGCTGGGCCCACCCTGTAGCCCATTTGACACTGACCCCACGTGAAACAAGTAACCGACACCTTTTCGTCTTCATTCTTCTATCCCATATTCAGATAAAACGCTGCCATTCTCATCCATATCAAATTATCAATCTTCGGTTTTCTTCAACACACAAATTAAATTATTGCTTCCTTTCATGCTCATACTCGAATCAATCCCAATTTTAGCCACTTCCCCCAGAATGACATTTTCCTCTTCAATCGGACGTCAACAATCTTCTTCTAATCATTTTTTTTAATAAACAATTAATATTTTTAATTTCATTTTAAATGTGTTATAATCCTATGTAAGTTGCTACAAGTATTCTATTATATTTGTATAGGGTTAGAGTACTCCTTGTACTCCTTTTTAATAAATCTCTTTTACTTAGAAAAAAAAATTGTAAAATTAGGTTTTGTTTAATTAAACTTATCCAAAAATACCATTTAAGAAATCATAACTTAAAATTAACTTATGTGTAAATCCATTTATACAAAATTTCT